AAAAAAAAAAAAAAGTTTGTTTGAAAGGTTCACTGTTGGAGGAGAAAGTCTCCCCTATTATGGTGGTATCAGGCTAAGCTACCACTGGAGTATGAGCATTATAAAATAAAATAGTGACAAATGACCAGGGGATACAGTAGGTGCAAAAAGAGCAATCACCAAGTAGCAGCAATGATGAAAACAGGGGTTACTGAATGAAGTTGTTGTGCCAGGTATTGTCCATTGGCACTGGCATCAATTTTCAACCTTTCCTCTCATTTTCACTGTGTCACAGGGGAAGAAGATTAAAACTACATTTCCCAGGCTCCTCTGTAGATACAGTTCAGGGTGATTTTAGATTCAGTCCATGAGATCCACTTACATTCGATTTGAAAGGTGGAAGGCTTACTGTGGAAGGGAGTGGGGTGGATAGGTGAGCACCAGCAGAGATGAGTGCTTGTGGCAGATAGAGTCCATAGTTCATCATCTGGTCCAGTGTGGGGGATGTGGGGATGACACACCAATAGTAGCAGTAGATGCAGTTTCTTGATTTCTAGGTTGTAGGTAGTGGAGTGACCTCAAAACCAATTGTTAAATTGCAGCCCCTAGTTGCCCTGCACCTTCAGCCTTTCCAGTGATTTTGTAAGCACCGGGTTCTCTGTATTAAATTCTTTTCTTCTTGGAATACCTACAGTGGTAAGGCAGACTGGCTGGCTATTCACCAACCTATTTTCTTTTCTCCTGTGTACCCATCAACTATATGTTTCCCGGTCTTCCTTACAGCCAGGCATGACCCTATGCTAATGGATTGTGAGCAGAAATGAACCTTTCAGGTCAAACCTAAACCAACCTCTCACATAGGCTTCTTCACCATTCTTTTCCTTTCTAGCTGTTTGATGCAAATGAGCACAGTGACCTTGGAAGCTATATGTGGAGATGGTGATAACATGAGATGGAACTAGCCTGGGTCCCTGACTCACTGCTTGGAAGAGAATCATCTTGGAAGAGAAGCTCTCTCCCATTGTGGCAGCACCAGACAAAACCACAACTGGGGAATGATGGAGGAAAAGGGTGTTGGGATGAGAGAAATGCTAAAAGAAGCAATGACCAAGGACAAAATGATGAGAGCAGTGGTCACTGAAGTGAGGGAGAAAAAAAGAAACCCACTTATGCCAAGTCACTGAGACCATGAGATTTATCTAATAAAGCAGTTAGCAGCTCCAGTTAAAAGATGTAGTTTCTGTTCTTACACTGAACCCTGACAACAGCCACCAAGGTGAAAGAGAAAATTACAGGCAATATTGATATAAAAATATTGTTGGTCACAACCAAAAAGAACACATGAGTTGGCAGAATCTGAAAAGAGAAGAGATTTGGTTAACTATGTGAGGCAATTGATATGTTAAATTCACTTAATGATGGCAATTATTTAACAATGAATACATATATCAAAGCATCATGTTGTATACCTTGAATATATACAATTTTTGTTTGTCAATTTTACCTCAGTAAAGCTGGGGGGAAAAAGAGAAGACTTGAGAAAGTTGAAGTTACTATAAATTTGATGGATGGAGGTACAGAAATCAAATTCCTTTGATGGTATAGAAACCCTGGGCCCTATTCATTCTTTCATACTCATCCTCTGCCACCCTCCACATACACTGAGCTCTAGAAAAACCCCTTGGAAGTCCTCATACATACCATAGGTCTTTCCTTAACAGTCCTCGGAGCAGCCGAGGTCTGAGAAACCCTTCTATAGCAGAACTTTTGGCTCCAAGAGGTTCAGGGTGCCACCCAAGAAATCTCCCCTTTGGACAAACTGAAGGCCATCTTTCCCTACTGGACCTTGATTCCAAGGGCTATTCCCCCTGAATAAGTTCCAGGAACATATGCAGATCTCAGAGACAAGTGGGCACATCCCAAGCTACAGATGTGGGGCCTGGCAACTGAACTGACAGCTCAAATAGCATCTCTTACCCACGAGCCAGGCCAGCTGGTCTGTTCCACTGACTAAAAGCATGCCTTAGAAATGTGCCTGCCTTTTATTTTCTGATGTGTCACAATTTACTCTTTTGTTGTTCCGGAACATTCTGGAGCACAGGAGGCTAATCACCCTCCCATAGCATGACATCTGTTTGAGATGACTGAAGGCTCAGGCACAGAACCTCCCAATGTCATCCTGAAGGCAGCCCACACAGTCACAGGACAGAGGATGAAGCTCTCCCGTTCAGTGGTTCATGAACAAGAAGGGGAGAAAAATAGACCCTTTAGATTGGCGATATAAACAAACCTTAAGAGGTAAATATATTTTACTAAAAGTGGAGTACAAAGTAAATACCCATGCATGTTCTGAAAAGGCCAATACCCATGTGGACTACAGCAAAGCGAGTAGAAAAACATATGCATTTATTTGAGTCTTATCCATAGGGCTTCATGACAGCCAGTCTTCGTTTAGGTTGTCAGTGGCCCAAAAGAAATGGGAAACAGGCTTC